AATTCCGTACCAAGACCGGCTGGTCCTTGGAGATAATGTATGGGGCTGCTGCCTGTATTTTCAATCATTTTCAGTTTTGAAATGTACCTTCACTTTTTTAAGAGTTTTTTTCCGTATTAATGCTAATTAATTAAGTATTTACGAAAATAGGGTCGGGTTAAAAGTATTTACGGATATACTGCTGGGCTTAACCCTGGTCGGGGAAAGTCGCCAAACCATTTGGCGACTTATAAGTCGCCCAACCGGATGGCGACTTATAAGTCGCCCAACGGTTTGGCGACTTACCCATAAATTAAAAATCCGGGTTAAACTAAAAAAAAAGAGGGGCAAAATTGTCTTTTGAAATCCGTTGAATTTTACGACTATCGTGTCCGCAGGTCGCCCGCGCAGGGGGGTGCGAATTTTCGATTCTGAACTGAAAGCCGGAATTCTTGTGTGCGCGAGAGCTCCCCTATTCTCCTTCACCTTTTAATTCTAAGAGAGGAGTGGTTCATATTTATAGGCTTCAAACTTCTCAATGAGTTTAGGTGTGGGAAAGTTAAAGAAGCTCACTTTCCACCTTTGCTTAAAAGTTTACACTTTTCCATCTTTCTCTTTCAAGAGCAAATTTGAGCCACTTCAAACTTCAAAGTCCAAAACTCCAACACCAAAGGTTAACACTACAATCAAAGCTTCCAAGAGTCAACATTGAGATTTAAAAAAAAAAAAAACAAGGTTAAGACTATTTTTCTCAAACTCCCAGCTACATTTCAAGGTCCAAGATAGTATTGTTTCCTATCATCTACTTCCTTTCATGTTGATTTTTGGAATTTGATAGGAAACAACCAAGCTACATTTCAAGGTCCAAAATCAAGGTACCATCAAGATAGTAGTTCAGCGTTGCATCTCAAATGATTTGCAGAAACCTTCTTATGTTTGATCAGCACCAAAATGGAGCAGTTTTGTGTTAAAATTTCAGGGTTGCTGCTTTTATACTTCGTATTTCCATGCACTTTCTTACAAGTTGCCCGCCCTCTTAGCCCTGATGGTAAGTTGTTTATTCTGTGCTGCATATATGCCCTGCCCGTTTTATGTACTTAGGGGCTGATCTCCACCCAAATCACAAAATGTGCAATGAGGAGTATCAAGCTTTAAGCTAGTGATCTCTATTAAAGTTGTTAACGAAGTCAGCTGCCTTGGTGACATTCTCAATCAAGGGTTATAGACTTTTACATCACAATTCGTATGAGGTGTTTCTATGATGGAATGAATAAGATTGTAGTTGTGGTTCCTTAATCTATTTATACTCCTGTGGTTTGCGTTCCATGATCGTAATGTAACAATACTATCTTGGACCTTGATAGGAAACAACCAAGCTACATTTCAAGGTCCAAAATCAAGGTACCATCTACCTTGATTTTTTTTTAAATCTCAATGTTGACTCTTGGAAGCTTTGATTGTAGTGTTGACCTTTGGTGTTGGAGTTTTGGACTTTGAAGTTTGAAGTGGCTCAAATTTGCTATTGAAAAAGAAAGATGGAAAAGTGTACACTTTTAAGCAAAGGTGGAAAGTGAGCTTCTTTAACTTTCCCACACCTAAACTCCTTGAGAAGTTTGAAGCCTATAAATATGAACCACTCCTCTCTGAAAATTAAAAGGTGAAGGTGTGACACCGCACTCGAATGTCCTTGGAAATTTGATTTGAATATTCAAAGCTTATGTATTGGATTTCTGATTCCCAAACATTTTGTAAAACGATCAATGTTCTACGTAGTGCATGGTTGAATATCGTACTGTTCAAACTCGTACATTAGTGTCGGGTTTCGCAAATACTTACTCGGGACTTATTAATAAATAAAAGAGCCCAACATTATCTATATAAGTGATCGAAGGATTAAAGAAGAATACAAATGCCTATAACCCCATCTTTGGCATTTTTGAGCTAAATAATGGGAGTAGGATTTTCCTTCTATAACATCCATCAAGTAAATTATTGGGATGAGCCTACACATATTGGATGTCAATAATGTGATTTAGGAAGTTGACTTGTTCTAAATAAATTAGGATGAGTACAAAAAGACATCTTTGACAAAGATAAAACAATAGGACCCATCTTCCCATTTTTGGAAGTATTGGTAGATATTTTGGACCCCAAATTGATTGGGATTAATTGGGGGGCATCCCATGTGTCTTGAGTACCTGCAAGACAAGGAAAATATGTGAGGAGACTCACCTTGACCGCACCACATGGAGAAGCATTGCCCATGACACAATTGGGATCAAATTTTGGGGCCACCACCACTGTTTTCGCACAAACAGGTGTGCTGTTTTGTCTCCCTTCATTTTGAGAGTTGTACTCGTCCAAATGGGGTGTATAAGGTGTCTTTGGATAGATTTTGAAGTCTATTTTCATATTTGAGTGGCCAGAGTTCGAGAGGAGAGAGCAATCATCCAAAAATCGATCTGGAACGAGCAGAGGTCTGTGAACTCGAGCTGTGAGAGTGCTGAGACTGTTTGGTCGATATCTCGAGTTTTACCAATCCAATTAAGGCGTGTGAGATACCAAAAGAAAGCTCTCAAGACGAGGAATCCGTGAAGGTCTGGTTTGCATCAATCGGAGTAGAGTAAGGCTTCCAAATCGTCCGAACAGAACGCGACCTCGCAGGAACGGATTTACTCTTCTAAGTGAGTTGTTAATCCCAAAACCTTTCCATTCATTTTCCAAATGATATGAACGATTGGTGGAACTATTATACACTACTCCAAGTGTATAATATGTCCCTATTAAGTTATTTTATTGATGTAAAGGTTAGATACTAACCTAGAACAAATCTTGGAAAACTAGGAAACGAGTTAGCCGGAAAACACCCATTCTAGGGGCTGTTTTCGTACCAACGTTTAGGGGTTGAGCTAGCACCTTGAAGAGGCTGTTTAACACTCATATTTGAGCAAGGAATCAGTTCCAAATCCACCTTGACCGAAGCTTTGACCATTGGACCAAGAAGGGAAAGTTTAAAGCTCAATTGAGGTGAGGATTGACATCTAATTGCTTACAACTTGTAGGTTAAGCATGAGATTACCTAAATGCTTAAATCATTATTTTTCATGAATTATGATGGTTATATATCGATGAAATATTGATATAGTTTCCAAAGAATGAAGTTTGAAATGATTTGAGAATGTATGAATATTATGAGATTAAATGAGTATAAATGAACTATTTTTGTGAAATAGGCATTTTGCTCATGTATGAATTATGTGGTTACATAAATGAATATTTGTGTATTGAGATTGAATACTTAAGTTGCTGCTACATAATTATAATTATGTAGAGAATTACAAATAATGAGGATAATGGTATGATAACAATAATCTTAATAGTATTGGAATGCTAGTTAGTGATTATTGGGACTTGTTGATTAAATTGATCCTAGGGATTGGATTGTATGGAAGATACTTGAATGTAGTTCAAGTGTATCTAATAACTTAGTAAGGAACTAAGGTTAAGTTATGGGAAGTCTTTAAGGATGACCCATGGTAGTTTAATGATATGTCAATTCTAGGCATAGGGTTGCTTGAGAGTTGGACCTTAATGCATGGTGATGTGATAGAGCCGAGCTCTAGAATGCATGTAAGGTGTAGACTTGGAGTCTATGTATTGTATAGCTAGAGCCGAGCTCTAGGACTTGCGTGGTGATGTGATAGAGCCGAGCTCTAGAACGCAAGGTAGGGAAATTGACCCGAGGTATATGAATTGTATGGTGATGTGGTAGAGCCGAGCTCTAGAATACAATGTCATGTACTAGGGTTGGACTCTAAGAGTTGTCGTGGCTTATAGTCACGGGGTTGGGAATGGTGATTTTCCAAATGAACATGGGCCCACGGGCCGGCTACTTGACTTTTATATAAAGTAAGTATATTTTTAAACGGGGTAACTTAGGGTTACAATCATAATGTACTATCACCCTATTTGAGGGTCTTGTGTTTGAAATACTTGTTGTATATCTATTAGATGCCTGCCACACCAGTACTTTATAGCCGTATAGAGTACTGACCCCTTCGGGGGCGTCCCACCACCATTTCAGGTTGAGGCTTGAGCTTGCACCCTGCGCTTGTTGATCGGGTGAATCCGTGGAGAGAAGACTTGGTTCGTGCTTCCTCCATTCTATTTGAAACATTAACAAATTTGCTCATGGATATTTTATTATAGAGCCTGCGTGCTCATGAATAGCCCTGTGTGGCCCTTTTGTTTTAAACAATGTTTTCCGCTGCTTTATGAATTACTTATTATGTTGTTTATGGATGACTTATGTGTGAATGATATTCATGACGCCTTGTATAATATGAATGTGTTGGACTGCGGTTGACTATTCGTATTGTACGGCGGGTTGTTGACGTGTCCGGGGAGGTCCGGGGCGTGACAGAAGGAGAATTAAATATGAGCTCTCGCGCACACATGAATTCCGGCTTTCAGTTCAGAATCGAAAATTCGCACCCCCCTGCGCGGGCGACCTGCGGACACGATAGTCGTAAAATTCAACGGGTTTCAAAAGACAATTTTGCCCCTCTTTTTTTTTTTTAGTTTAACCCGGATTTTTAATTTATGGGTAAGTCGCCAAACCGTTGGGCGACTTATAAGTCGCCATCCGGTTGGGCGACTTATAAGTCGCCAAACGGTTTGGCGACTTTCCCCGATCAGGGTTAAGCCCAGCAGTATATCCGTAAATACTTTTAACCCGACCCTATTTTCGTAAATACTTAATTAATTAGCATTAATACGGAAAAAAACTCCTTTTTTAAAATCTTTTACAATTGTTCAAATATAAAAACAAAAATAGGGCCTGAACCAGAGTTGGACCCGGTCAACGGTCCTGGACTACACTCAAATTTAGTTTTTCTTAGGCATGCACTAAATACATTTTCTCTACAATCCAAAAATAACTTATTTTGAATCTTCGTTTTTCTTAGGCATGCACTAAATACATTTTCTCTACAATCCAAAAATAACTTATTTTGAATCTTCGCACCCAATTTTTTTTTTTTGAACAGTAAAGAATTAACTGTCATTCAAAGCATCAGCGTTTAGTACATGAGTAATAAAGTGAGGAAGAAAATCGCTCCAACAAACACAATCAGACACAGAACAAGCAGCTTTAGCTAATTCGTGAGCCGTCTTGTTCGCTGATCGCTTAACATGTAAAAAAGAGATGTCTATAAAGCTAGATGCTATCTCTCTAATATCACCACCCAAGACGCCTGCTAGAGAAATGCTAGCTTCCTTTAATATCTCCGAAATTGCTCCTGATGAATCTGACTCCACGTCCACCCGGTCCCATCCTCTTCCTTTAGCCCAGCTCAAAGCTTCCCGAATCCCTATCAACTCAGCTTCCAACGGAGTCAATACTCCCATTCGGACCTTCGACACACCTGCAATAAAATTACAAGAATCATCTCTAAGAATCCATCCCAACCCACTCTTGTCTCCTCTGAGTGCCGCATCCACATTCAGTTTCACCCTCCCAGGAGTTGGACTTCACCAACCCGAAATGCCCCCTCCCCTAATGTTAGTCTGCCCGCCTGCACCCTTCTGAGCCAGATGCCAACCTTCCACATACACCCTAGCTTTTCTCATAACATGCTTCAGATCATTTGAAGCTCCCCCCCAGACTCTATTATTGCGCTCACCCCACAAACCCCAGCAGCCCCAAATCAACTTACACAAATTCTCAATATTCTTCACTTGGAATTCCCGACGAATCTGCTCCAGAAATGACCCCGCTCCAGGCTCCACCCAGCTCCACCCAACCGAATCCCAAGCTTCCTTCGTTTGTGGGCAAAAAATGAACAAATGAAGTTGAGACTCTGCCTCCATCCCGCACAAACCGCAGACATCAGAACAATTGATTCTCCGACTCATAAGATTATCCTTCGTCGGGAGGAGGCTGCGGCAGGCTTGCCAGAAGAACTGCTTCACCTTTGGTGGCAATTTCCACCGCCACATCTCCGTCCACCCGAGCCATTCACTAGATGTAATCTCTCCGATTATAGCTCTATAACAACTACGAACAGAGAACTGGCCTGAGTTCTCCCATCTCCAACACACTCTGTCCGAAACATCCCTGAAGCTTAGTGGAACTCCCTGAATAATGTCAACATCCCGCTGCACAAAAAGATCCTTGAGAAGGTCCACATCCCACCTCTTCTCCCCAGTACACATAAGATTTCCGACCCGAGCTTGTTCCAGCCCCAACACAGGATTAGACACCACTTTGGGAAGACTCTTATCCGGGAGCCACGGCTCGGTTCATATGTTAATATCCAGCCCATTCCCGACTCTCCAATAGTAACCTTTTCTGATTATATCTTGAACCTGAAAAATACTTTGCCAAATAAAAGACGGATTAGTTCCCGCCTTAGCAGACAAATAATTACCATCTCGATAATATCTAGCCTTGAACACCCGCCCCACCAAAGAGTTTGGTTCCGAAAATAATCTCCATGCTTGTTTAGCTAACATGGCCAGATTAAATTCTCGAAGCTTCTTAAAGCCCATGCCCCCAGTTTCGCACCCAATTTTCTTTTTCAATAATTCTCTTAACAATATCTATTTATAATGTCTAAAGCAACCTGGCACATCATTCAAATAATCTTCAAATAAATTAATCATTGGGGATGCCTAAACATTATGAAATTTTCACTACACAAAACAAAAATTATTACCGAGGGGCGAGGGCGTATCCACTATGGGACATTGGAGGCAGCTGCCCCCTCAACTCCAACTCATCCCATATAGGGGTGGACTCGGACCGGTTCGGGCCCAGTTCGGGCTCGGTCGGGCCTTGGTTCATGAAAGGGGAGGCCCGGAACCGGCCCGGGTAACCCCCGGGTCCGGTTCGGGCCGGGCCAGGCCTCGATTCAAATTAATTTTTTTTTGCTTTTCCTAATTAACCCCCAACCCTCCCCCAAACCACCCCAAACCACCTCAAATGGCCCAAAATACCCAGCCCAACCCAAAAACATAAAAAAAATTCAAAAAAAAGGAAAAATAAATAAATTGGCCTGAACCGGGCCCAAACCGGCCGGGCCGGTTCACCTTTTCAGGGGCCCGAGCCCGGCCCGGAACCCCAGCAGGTCGGGCCTACCCGGACCTGTCCCTGGCCGGGCCGGCGTTTCGGGCCGGTTCAAATAGTGACTGGGTCGGGCCGCCCGGCCCGAGTCCACCCCTAAAATATTTTATTATTTTAAAATAATAAAATATTTAAAATAGGATTAAGAATGTTTTTTTCCTAAATATAGAATTTATGTAATCTTATTAAAAGAATAAAAGGATAGAAAACACTTGGTTTGTCAAGTTTTATTTCTATTACATCAATTTCTCAAATTTGATCTACAATTGCATCTTTGCACACACTATATAAGTTGATGTTCTTTTTATAGACTTGTACATGTCCTTACTTTCAATTGCAGATAGTCATTACCTATATCTGTAGCTTTTCTAGGTATTTTTACATCAGGTTATCTGCACTACCGCAAGTAGTGCAAGCTTTTCTTTTTACACTAGAACTTACACTACCGCAAATAACCTGGTGTAAAAAAAACCTAGAAAATCCTTTAAACAGTACTGCTTTTGAAAGTAATGACATAAAGCCATCATGTATTAGTTAAACCTATCTGCAAAAAATCTGTAAAACTACAAGGTACTAGCATAAAGTCGTCTAGCCTAAACTTGCCGCCATCAAATATATAAAAGAAAAACTAAGTATGTGTTAATGTGTATATATACATATATCCCTGGGGTCTCGAAATGCTATCTCAAGGATTTGTTACATAAAAGTTAAAATTAGCATGGGACTAGAATAACAAAAAGCACCAATAAATATTCATTAGAGGCAAACTCAATACAAAAGGTAAAGCAGAAAATTATAAATTCTACACGTTGGTTTTAACATGAGGTACCTTTAATTCTTTATACTTTACGAAATTAAAGGAATGAAACACAGAGGCTTTATCTCAGAGAAAATCTGCCTCTTCTAACACTGCTAGGGTTCATAGTGTGAGATGTGAATCCAATGAGCCTGTCTGGTGTTGAATAATCTTCTTCCTCACTGTCATCAGATCTCCACCTCGATCTCACACTTGCATTTGTGTCCTCTTCATGGCTGCTCACAAGTACCAGTGATTACCAATACAATTTTTCCCCCTTTTATTAGTTAATACCCAGTTTAGTCTCAATTATACTCCCTCTGTCCCACAAAATTTGGCCAAAGTTAACTTACACGTAGATTAGTAAAGTAAAAACCGTGTGGTTGATATTTGTGCAGAGGAGAGAGAAATAATTTTAGCCACATATTCCTTACGTTAAATGGAAATGGCAAATTTTTTGGGACGGCAAAAAAAGGAAATTTGGCCAAGTTTTATGGGACGGAGGGGGGGAGTATGTAATACTCTTTTGGTCCTCGAACTTTTTATTGGACTCATTTAGGTCTTAAAGCCTAAGACTCGCTGGTTTTTTGGTTTGGGAATATGATGAAATAAAGCAAAATGTCTTACTAAACTGTCTGTGCTTTTTTGTTATGAAGCAACAGTTAGTCCATGCAATTTTCGACGCGATTTTCACTATCGGTCCTGCAGAAAGAGTCTCTTATTGCTTTAGTACAGGGGTATGACTGCGTACATCTGATCCCCCTTACCCCACCGTAGGTGGAAGCCTTTGCGGCACTAGGGTGATGATGATTTACGTCTTAAACTACGACCACTTGGTCCCAATTTTGTCCCTATACATATTTGTTTCTAAATAAGAACATAATTTCTGTCAGTAAATTTAGACAAAAAAATGGCCCTCCTTTGCACATGAAAATTGCTTTCCTAATTAGAGCAAAGTATGCAGGGTAAAATGAGCCCAAAAAAAGTTGACGACCAAGTTGAGCAAGTGCATAATTGAGGGGCCAAATCTGGTATAACCGTGTAAAGTCTCTCTCTCTTAACTACTGGACAATCTCGATGAGAAAAGATACGAAAGAAGATATTTACCTCCAGGAAATATCCATGGCTTCTGTGAGTGAGCGGTGCTTCTTAGAAATTACAGATCCATTGAGGGATACCTTTTCAATCCTCTCTGAAGAAACTTGATTGGTTTGGTAATTCCGAAGGCGGCTACTGCGAGGTACCCTTAATGAACTTCGTTCTGTTGTTGGAGAACTAATGAATGAATGAGTGTGTGGCTTAGGAGAGGCATAGTTTCCAACTTTAAAGATAGAAAGATCAGACAGTCCATATTTTGCTGAAGTCTCTAGAGACGAAGCACTAAGGGAGGAAATTATTTCATTGTTCGCTTGGCCAGCAGGAGGGTGTGGAGAGGAAATAATTGCATTGTCCGCCCTGTCAGCAGGAGGGTGTGTCAATAAACTGGACAAAATAGGTCCTTGAGAAACTTGCAGATCAGGTTTTGCAGAACTGTCCTTTGCCTTATCCTTATTTGGAATTGCTGCTTCAGCCAACTTTCCCGCCTTTACTTGATGCTGAACGAAATCAGGAAGCAACTCCACCCCTTTTCGCTGCAATAGTATAGAGCATGTAACCTCTGTTGCATTAGTTTGAACTTGACTTCACTGTCTAAATAAACCACATGAAATGCCTACATTTTCAAGAAACTTGAACAGCGCAAAATAACAATAAATGGAAAACTGAAAAGAATGTAAAACTTGATCTACCAATAGGAAGATTCCTCAAGGACAAACCTACAAGTTCCTACTCAGTTACAAATAATTCATCCAGAACCCCAGAATATAAACATTACGGGACCAGTTGAATACAAAATGGAGAAAAAAACAGAATAAAACTGAATCACGTCTCGTTTTAGATATATAAACCAAAAATCTGTTTACAAATGAGACCAGATAGAAATTTAAGAAACTCTCAATCAATCTATAAAGTGAAAAAACGTAAGAGTTCAATTGACCAACACGGCAACACCTGGGCAAACTTCCATCAATTTAATAAAAATTTATTCACTTTCATCCAATTAATAGTTGCACCATAGCAGAATTGAAAATCCAAAGTTGCAATCTACTCATTCTAATTGAATAGAAAGATAGGCAATAAAAATATACAGACTTACAGCCAAACCCGTTCTCCAATTGTTTATTGATCTTATCCTGGTTAACACAGCTTCACTGGGAGAATTTTGAGAAATGAAGTTGTCCTCCATGGTTTGAAGCTTGCAATCAATTTCATATGCCTCTATGTACCTATGTCGCTGGACAAAGACAAGAAACCATATGAAAGTCATTGTTTATGCCAAATAATCTTATGATTAAAGTTCTCACTGTCTGAATACTAATAAATAAAAGAAATTAGCACAGGCACACATTCAGTCAAATACCAAGCAAGAAACTTAGAAAAGTATATATGACTTTGAGCTGGCAGTATTTAAGCAGATGGTAGAAAAAAACAATATATTGTTTACATAATAAGATTTTGTACCTGTAAATAGAAAACAACAAGTAGACTTCCTGTAATCGTGGAAGGGTCTTCTGTTGAAAAATCCAACAGGCACTTATGAAGATATATCTCCTCGTCAGAGTTCCATGGAAGTTCTATGATGCGGTCTACTAAATTTCTCCTTACACAAAGACAACAAATTTCAGAGACCAAAGTCTCCACCCACAAATCCGGAGAACAGGCTTCACCCTTTTGTTCAAGTGAAGCATCATGAAATGTTTCACCTCGTAACTTATTTTCATTCACCCTGGCACAAATCATTCTCTGGAACATGAAAGCTTCAGATAGAAGTCCACACTCCACTCTTACTCGAACTGCAGTGACAGCCTCCCCAAGAGAAACCAGCTGTCCCCCATCTCGCCCTGAACATCTCAGAACCATAAGAGCTGCATCAGGATTTTGCCTCTCTAAAAGAACCTGTGCCACTTTAGGATGGACAACGGGACTCGAGATTTCAGGGAGAAGGCGGCAAGCTTCCTAGAAATACGAGTGAATGATCAACAAAGAAAATGGTACAATGTCTAACTAATTCACCTCAGATTAACCCAAAACTTCCATTGAACCATAAAATGTGTACATTGTGGTATCCTACTCCTTCCCCCACACTACGTGCCTCAGTCAGTTAATTAGGGTTGACAATTATCATTTACAGTTCAGTTTTTATATTTAACTGCACAGTTATCTTCAAGAATTAATTTGAATGCGTTCCCGATTGAAGTTTTAGCTGAAATTTGGTATGAGTAAACTAGACTTGATGAATAAGATGTTCAAAAAATTTCATCACAAAATTCCACCGGGAACCGCCCCAAATTGCGACGGCCGGACACAGCCTCCTATATAAGGACTTATTTGAACTTTTTATGAAAGTTCGAGAACCTAT